TCTTTTATTTTTAGTATGTTATATGGGTGCGCGGCAGAATATGTTCTTCTAGTCATTTCTGTATTAGCTGTGTTTAAAAAACTTGTGCTACTGTGTACCCATGACTGTTTGTCAAATAAAACCTAACCTAACCTACAGTAAATAAACGCTGTCCATTCAACAATACCGTTTTTCCATCGACAATCGATGCTTGCTGACCAATTTGACAGCAAGCGTCTGTAAACAATGGCAATAGTAACGTCGATGATGGCCAACAACGATGAACTAAATTTGCTTCACACGAACTAATTATGGCATTGATAATATCCTTAAAATAGAGACGATTTTTTTTAGTATAGAATAGGATAGAAGTGATAGAGCATAGCTGATCGTCAGAATTCAACCCCCTGATTGTTTCTGCTAGTGTATTGGAATAAAAACGAGAATCAATATGAAAAGCACTACCTAAAAATAAAAAGACTATTTAATCGTTCTTTATCATCTAAAAAATCAGTATCTGAGAAATAATTTCTCGGGGTTAGCTCATCCCAGAAATGTGGATCGTGCGTTGGATAGAGCGACCGAAAAGCTACAAAATCAGCGTAAAACAAAAAAAATTGAATTAGGTTGATTAAAAATGGATGTCTTGAGAAAGAAAAACTATTTCTTCTACTCAAGAACTGTCGTTAGTACATAACGCCTGGAATAAAGATGTGATTAAAAATATATGAAAACTTCATTGCAAGCATGTCACATTAGGAAGTGATTACATGCAGCAGGCAGTAAAACGTATGATGTTCGGAACCAGGCGACATCTACCAAACTTTATAGACATTGATTAAATTCTTACTAACAGACAGAGAAGAGAAGAAAAAAAACAATCACATGCGGCCATTTTCTGCAGCTGTTATTAGCTCATAAATTCTAACAAAACGTTATTTATTCAGATACTATTTTTTATTTTCGACTCACAATTGTTGAAAATATGTGGTCGAAGTCGTTGGTACTTCTACAGATGGTTGTCCCTTTTTTTTTACTGAGAAACTGATTTTACTGAACTTTTCTGATTGGGTGATAGAAAAATTTACGCTCTGGTGACTCAGAAACCCAGTTCAGTTCAGTTCAGTTTCTCAGTAAAAAAAGGAACAGATCGATCACATCCCTACCTAGCGAGTGTATATTATAGCCATATAACAGAACAGGAAAAAAAAACCATTGGTTAAAAAGTATATATCATTGGATGAACAGTATAAGGAATTATGAACGCGAATAATAGATGACTCTAGTTATAGGAAGTTCTATTAGACTTAAGGCTGACAGATCCAATAAGGATCAGTCAAAGGATTAAATTTGAAAGACAGTATGAATTAATTTACTTATACCAAAAAAGAAAAAACACATAAAAGTACCAAAAATCGTTTAATTTAGTTCAGTGGGGTAGAGTTCGTTAATTTGTTGTACCAGATTTTCAAACGGCCTCTCTCCAAATTTTCTTCGCCACATAAACTCGGTGAGATATGTCTGTAAGAGCGTTACAGACATATCCATCATATTCTTCTTTTTTCTTTTTGCAACCATCCACATATTTTCAATATTCTGGGTATGTACCGCAGTTTGTGGATCCACGAAATGTAACGAATGGTTCACCGTTTGATGTTCATAACCATTAACATTTGTTCTTAAGCAGATGTATGCTCTCCATTCGTCACTGTAAATCGTTGTGCCTGGAAATATATTAAGCGTTAGTAAAGAGAAATATAAATAGAAGGTGACGTACCTGGTCTGACATACTGTTGTATAATTGGTAACAGTGTGGCAGCATCACGACGATTTACAGTGACAGCAAAACATTTTCTGGTGTCTCCGTCAATACCACCGAATACCCACTGGTTTGGTACCACTCGCCCACGATTGTATTTTCTTTTCGTCCATGAACTTTCGTCGATTTCCACCACATGTCCAATCCAACCAATCACCCCCGGATGCCTTAAAAAAAATTCAGCGCAGATATCACGAAGAAAATTTTTCCAATCAACGATGGTAGACTCACTTGCTAAATTACAATGACGTCGAAGATCTTTATGGCTATCGAGGCCTTGTGACCAATAAAACATTAAATCGAGTAACTGCTGGATTGATAATCTCGACGTGGAAAAGAAGGTGCCATCACGAATAGATCGAGTTAACTTGCAACCTTTTGCACGACAACGCGATTGATATTCTAAAACATAACATAAAATGTAAACTGCTTTCTGAGGTTATGTTGTATTACTTACTGTCGTGGGCTCTTGACGATTTGCCCATATACCATTTATGGTGACCGTTCGTACATGGCGCACTTGGACTATACGGTATTAATCCAAGTGTTCGACAAAATGATATACAGTCTTCTAATGTATCAGTAATATGGTTCCATTCACGTAATGTCATCTTATCAACAGGCGGTAACGGAAAAATAGACATTTTTAACGAATTAAAGAGTGTACTGTGCTCTCCCTTCATTATATTACTACTATTTATATCATTTCTTTAAATTCTCAAATAATAATTCAGTTTAAGTAGTGTGCAAATTATGTCTCGCTTTATTTCATAATCCTGACTGATCCTTCTTAAATGGATCTGTCAGTCTTATCTATTATAGCTCCTATTACTAGAGTCATCTATTATTCGCGTTCAATAATAATGTACTTTTGAACCAATAGTTTTTTTTCCCGTTCTGTAGGGGTGTGATCGATCTGTAGAAGTACCATAGCTTTCTCAGATACTCCTACAAACTGATGATCTCCCTACCATTACCACTCTCTCGCCGCATTGCCACTAAGAAGGTGATCAATCTGTAGTAGAACCACTTTCTCACATAGTGAAGTCTGAGCGGACAGCGTGGATGCCTAGCTAATTAGATGATCCATATTTCGTATATGCTCACAACCAGCATATAAGAGTTGTAGTCAGACTGCCACAGTAGGTTGTTTTGTTGAAGTAGCACGACGCGCAGAGTCAAAGTCAAGAATCACGTTATCCTATCGAAATACCCTAAGTACATTTGAAAGTTGGGAAAGAAATAGTCCTTGCAAAGCTGCCATCTAATTTTGTAGTAAAAGCACACATACTAATGAAATCACTTAATTCAACAAATCATGATACAGAACGGAGTCGCATAATGTGTAATGTGCCACAGCCATCAACTAAAGAAACCTCAGCAAAATCTTCTGATTTTTCTAGCTCAATTGTGTATCAGTCGGCCAGAATATAAAACAAAGATAGAGTTTTTTCAAACGAAAGTTTGCTAACATAATAAGGTCGATGATTTCAAAGTATATTCAAAATTTCTCGAAAAGAACCCTATCATTGCATCATGTTTTTTGATGACTTTTTAACAATGATATCGCATTTTCTTCCATTTATAGATGCATGACTGAACGGTTATCCACCGGTTCATATCTAATCCTCATTTTTGTGAATATGTTTATAGCACTATTGGCTACTTATTCAATGGGAATGTTTCATGGACTTTCTACAGAAATCGATCAAGATGCATTTACAATCATTGAAACAAAATCGATCCAAAATATTTGAATACATCAGATCAAACTGTTCACAATTGCTAGATGAATATCCAGAATTTGTTGCTTTTTCTAAAGTTGAACTACGTGTAACGTATAGGTTATCATTAAAATTAGGCAAATTGGTAGTCTTGTTATCAACACTGTATGATACCTATTTACCTTATGCATTATATCCTCCACCTCTATTACCAGTTATTATAATGGGAATAACATCCACTTGTTTATTCTATGCAAACTTACAAATGATGAATGGATTCTTCAATTGTTAGAATTCAGCTTAATTTTGGCTGGCTTTGTTATGATTGTTCGTCAATATTTATTACCAAATTTCGATAAGCAATTGAAGAAGCAATGGCTAAGTGTTAAGACAGAGCTCTCATTTCTTCGATCTCTAGCCTTACACGAGCTTTTATGACCTTTCGAGATAGGTAGTCAGCCATCTCTTTTTCTATTTTGTTCATTTTCATTCTTTCTCATTTTTCTATATATATTCATACTCTATTCTATATACACGGTCTGGTCTTTTTTTTTTGTCGTCGATATAGTCAGTGCACAGTTAGACCTCGTGCTGCTGTATTTCTTGTTTGTAGTTTTACACTTTATACTTTATTCATATTATCATTTTTTTTACATTTACAAAATATATTGCTGCAGTAATAATTATTTCATCACTATCAGGTGCATATTCCATCGCCCTTGGGTAGTGATTATCTTTGTTAGTTAGCCTATCTCTCCCTCTCATCTACTAAGACAGGTCCGGAGATCTCTCAGTGCTGTACCACTAGGTCTCTGCTTACTTTTATCAGCCTTTCGAGGAGTATGGCGCTAACAGTGGGGGCCTGGGCAGTTTTTTTTTAAAAAAAGTGACGATTATCTCGTCTCTTCTTCTCTCGTTACGTCGTTTCATCTAATCATTTATTTATCGTATATTTTGTGAAGATTAAGTGTAGCATTCGTCGTACGTTTTTCGTGTATTATTTCGGCTTATATTATATACACATATTCAGAGTTTATTTAATCAAAACACAACTTAGTCAAAGGTATATGCCAGTTTTAATTACTTCAGAGTAAGGTTAATTGTTCCTGGTCATCAACAATTGACAGAAAAAGTAGCTTAAGATTCGACTACCTATTTTTTATGTGCTGTTTACTATAAACGTATAGCACTCGTCTGTCATAATGATACGTTATGCCAAAATCTCTGCGCTCAAACACCGACTTAAAACAGACACGTTACTCCCAAATTGAACTTCCTGCTAACACTCGTGAACAAACAAGTGAAAAACATCGTAATTCTTCAAATTATACCACCGACACAAATATCCACGAGTCATCGCCTGACTCGTCGTCTCCTATTATATCCTTTTCATATCCCGTTACGTTTTTTGCCGATAACGCATCGACAGTAGCGCCACAGTCCATTCAAGCAAACTCCCAGATGACAGATATTGGCGATTTACGTCGGAAAGAAGAGGATGAATTGAATAAGATAAAAGTCCTCGATTTTTCAGATACTGGGAATTTCGCCGCATGGCTAGTTTCTGTAGAAAATGTGTTTGACTTTCTGAAAATTAATAAACGAAATTGGTGTTCAACCGCTTATGATCATCTCGATGATAATTTGAAAGAATGGTATAAATCCAGTTCAATAATAAATGACTGGAATTTGTTTACGCACCAACTTTTAAGTTATACAAACACTCCTTTCTCAGCAGAGACATTTGCAATAGTCAACCACAGACAATAATGTCATCTGCAACAGCTAACAAGAAAGTCGGTTTTTCTTCATTTTTTAATTCACAACAGGAAGAGGCTGAGAAACCCAAAGAAATTCCTCAACACACTGGTGCTCTTCCGAAGTTTAATGGTGAAAGTCCAGAACAATGGTTAACAGATTTAAACTTTTCCTTCAAGACAATTCGGTTGTCAGCCGATATGAAGCTTGATTACTTAGAAGATCTCTTCCAGGGGAAGACACTCAACTGGTATTACGAACACCAGTCTCAATTTAAAGGACATCAGTCAATTTTAAAATCTATCCTTATCAAAAATCAAAAACCGTTTGATACGTCTAAACCTACCATAGCAAAATCTTCTATCTCTCATGCCATTGAAACCGTTGCACACTTTCCTCCTCGTTCAAAGTCGCTTCCATTTTTTGGACCAAAACTTCCAGAATTAAAAGATCTTGTAAATCCTTTGCTTGGCTCCGGCCATGTCATTCCATCGAATTCCCATTATGCGTCTCCAGCGGTAGTAACAAGGAAAAAAGATGGATCGGGACGTCTTGTCATTGACTATAAGAAGATCAACGCTGTAACTATGTCTGACAATCACCCGCTTCCTAATATGGAGAAAACCTTGCAAGAATTGGGGGATGGCTTCAAGTATTTTTCAAAATTAGATTTACGTAGTGGGTTTTGGCAAATTCGGATTCATCCAAAAGACCGACACAAAACCGCCTTCGCCACTCCGTTTGGGCTCTTTGAGTGGAGAGTTCTTCCTCAAGGCCTAAAGAATTCGTCTCCCACCTTTCAGAAAGTTATGGAAAAGACATTACAATCTTGTCGCCCGTTTTGTCTGGTCTACATTGATGATATTATGGTTTTCTCAAAAACCTTTCAAGAACATAGTCAACACGTCGAGAAAGTCCTCTCTCTTCTTCAACAGTCGAATTTTCAGCTCAAATCCGATTCAGCAAAATACCTTATATCAAAATTATATCAAGTCTTGCTTGAAATGTCGACAGTTTAATATTTCTCGTCAAAAGAAATCCGGGAAGTTATGTCCCATTCCTCCTCCTTCTGGTCCATTTGAGTTCATTGGAATGGATTTTTGTGGACCGCTTCAACCAACACCAAATGACAACAAATATATCCTCGTCATCACAGACTATTATTCCCGCTGGGTGACTGCTTTTGCTCTGCCGAACAACTCTGCTCAGGTCGCCGCGGACGTCCTGTTCAAACAATTCATCTGTAAATTTGGTGTACCGACAACTAGCGATCAAGGAACTCATTTCTGCAACAAACTCATGGCCACATTGACACTGAAATTGGGAATAAATCACACTTTTAGCTCTGTCTACCATCCTCAATCAAATGGGCGGGTGGAACGTTTTAATGCTACGTTCGTCTACGTAAGTAAACCTAGCAGCGGATTCGAGTATTTCTTGTTAACATTCGTCCACGAGCTTGTGTAAACTCTCTCTTTGCTTGTGTAACATGCAGAATTAAATTCTCTATCGAATGGTGGTCTTTATGATGGGGGTCATCGAGCGAAAAATGGGGTTCAACCGTTAAATACTGATTCTGTACCTAGGTTTGCGAGGTATTTCTTGCTAATATTCGTTCATGAGCTTGTGTAAACTCTCTCTTTGTTGTGTAGCATGCAGAATTCATATCTCTATCGAACAGTTGTGAATGGTACTTTGGACTGAAAGATTCTATCTTTGTTGAACCACTTACCTTATAATGCCGACGCACGGTCGATTTGATGTGAAAACCTCTGAATAGGAAACTGAGTTTATATTTGAGAGATGGAAAAGTATCAGTAACTATAGTAGAAAAAATTTATCTATATTGAAATCAATGGTTGTTACATGTCAAACTACATTATGAATGATATCATCTAAGTCTTTTTCAAGTTTGTCGATACGTTTCTGTACCAGATGTTTGATCCATCGAATGAAGAGCAGGACCAATGAAATAAAAATAATGAAAATTGTTGACAATATGATATTACCGATTTCTTTAATACCCATTATTGGATTAAATTTGTTATCTTTGAAATTATCACTAAAAGATGTTAAGGAATTTCTTGTTGTCAAATTATAAATAGTCAGCAGTTGCTTTGTCATGTTCTTAATTGACCATGGCATAGATGATAATCGCTCAT